GCTGCCTGTAGATTCCGTACAGCTATTTACAAATTTTGACACTGCTTCATTCAAAGTATTGTACTGTCCTGCCTCCATTATTAATTTTACTTTATCAATTGTACAGTTCTTCATCATTGCCTTTACCGCTGTTTGGGTTGCATATTTTGATGCTAGTTTGGGTGGAACTCCATCCGAAATGTGAACATTTTCTGGAGATTTTGTAAGGTCCTCAATCTCGTTTGTATATGCATTGGCTGACTTGCTATTCTACCTTACTTTCATTATCTTCGCGTTTATTACTTCTGTTGATTCACCTTTCACGGATGATTGATGCTTCTGTATTATCGGCTTTACAGTCAGTTCTTTAGTAATTAAGTTTCTGGCAGTATCCTTCAACTTGGTTTTAATCAAGTTAACGGCTATTGCCCCATGTGAAGCCATTACTGACTGAACTAATCGCAATGCATCTGTGAAAGTTCTGAGATTTTCAGCCCTGGCATCAAACTTAGGTATGACTCTGGATGCTGTATTCAAAAACGCAATCATGGTCTGCGACATGACTGTATCGGTAATATTTTCGGATATGAAAGGCGGAATAACTAATTATTTTAACTCTGATAACTCCGTTACAGTGTGGGATATCCTCTTCTATATTATATTTAGAGTAAACTTTTAGTAGTTTATTCCTAAGCTCTCAATACACTGATCTTGCAAAGTTGTCGTGAACTTTTGTTAGTTTTGTATTATATACCAAGAACACTAAATACAAGAGGACTTCTCAACTCAAGCGATTTTATGTCTACACACATTAGGCCTTTCAAGAGGAACGCGGAGAATTTGCATTGGCTGTGTAGAAATTGTTTTTGATTACTCTCTATAGTTCACATTTTTAATTTACGTACTGCTAAATGTGCGAATGTAGCATTAATCAATGCTCGAAGTTTCCAACAACAATTTGCCTTATTTAACCAACACAATAGACAACTGGCGCCACCACATCTATTCTTCATTGTTATTGCACACTTACTATATGATTTGGTATGCAAGAGTAGGTTTTTAAACACGCCTCCAGCAAACAAAGCAAAATTTGTTCACTCATTAGTATTAAAGCAATCGCTAAAGTGTCAACAGCGACTGCTATGCGTAATTTCCTTACGAAAAATGATCTTTTACATATAATTTATAATTTTAATTTATATATTTATATTTATTTTTATAATTTCAATTTATATATTTATTTTTATATATATTATTTATTATTTAAGTAATAGGCTATTGAAGCACCCCGACCTAAAAGATCTATTGTGCGCCTAAAGGCCCAATTAGAACATTTTTAGACTATTTATGAATCTTGTAATTGCTGTGGGCTTAATTTTATCTATATGACTTGGGACTAATATCCCGCTTCCAAGGTAATCGAGTCTACGTCTTGCAACCGCTGGACAGTTGCATATAACATGTTCTGATGTTTCCTTCTTCTCATGACAGAGTCGACAGGAGTCACTTTCTACCACACCTATAATCTTCATGTGGTAATTAGGTCTACAGTGTCCTGTAAGAAGTTCAGTGTAGATTTTAATATCGTTTCTGCTAAGGCCAAGGATAGCATCAACTTTGATGTGATCAGGATCAATGAATCTTTATGACTGTCGCATGCCTGTTTGGGCTTTCCAGTGTTAAAGTAGATGTTATTTCTCCCGTTCACATAAAAAGCTATTTGTGAAGCTATTTGTTACCCCGCAGAAGGGCTCTGGACCAATGAAAGGAGTACATGCACCCTTCTTTGCTAGGGAGTCTGCTATTTCATTGCCCTCATACTCTTTGTATCCTGGTACCCACATAAGAGTAACATAGTTCCTCGATGCTAGGGTGTTGAGAAGCTGAAAGCATTCCCAGACCAACTTTGATTGGAATAAGGATTTTACTAAAGATTTTAGAGCTGCTTGACTGTCTGAAAGGATGCATATTTTGGTACCTCGGGTGCCCCTTCGTATGCATTCTCTTGCACATAGCTCTAAGGCATGGACCTCTGCCTGAAAAATGGATGCAGTTTTTCGCATTGCGATTGCTTTACGGAATTTCGATCCTATAACTCCTGGTCCCGTACTGCCATCTTCCATTTTGGACCCATCAGTATACCATAATTGGGAACACTGTTTTAAGTTAATTTCATTGTTTCTCCAGGTGGATTGGTCACTAATGACGACTTCGAATTCCCTGGAGAAAGCTAATTTTCTATTCATCTTGTCAAAGACCTTAAGGCACGGAGAGTTCCAGACTTCATCTAGAATCTTTACGTGTCCTGTCAGATTGCCCTCTTTAAGATCACATAGATAAGGAAGCCCTGAACTTCATATCCGCGGTTACTAAAAGACTGTAGGAACTCGTCAATAACCAATAGCCATAGGAGCGGCGATAGAACGCCTCCTTGAGGGTATCCTTTGGTTGACTTGACAGTTAATCTCTTCGCCCCCTATTTTTCAGCATATTGAGAATCCATGTTATGATCAGTCTGTGTATTCCTTTCTTAACCATTCCTTTCTCAATTGATCTGAATGTTGCGTTATCAAAAGCTCCTGTAATGTCAACCGATGTGCAGAGAGCTATTTCCTTACCGTCTAAACCTTTCTCAATTTTACTTGTTAGACTGTGTGTAGCTGTCTCGGTCGATTTGCCCTCTGATAAGCATACTGTTCAATATGTAGAGGTAAAGCTTCAATGTAGACTTCCATGATGTATTGATCTGGAATCTTCTCCATCGCTTTAAGCAGGAAAGAAGTTAGGCAAATGGGTCGAAATGCTTTTGGCGTGTGATCCGCCTTTTTGCCTGCTTTCGTCCAATATTTAGGTATCACGCCTAGCTCTAGACTGATCCTAAATACGTTTGTTAATATCCGTGCTAATATATCAATGCCTTTCTGAAGAAGACACGGTTGTATATTGTCGATACCAGGTGATTTAAACGGGCTGAAAGTGGAAATGGCCCATTTGGTTTTATTGACTGTGAAGATTTTACGAGCCAGTGAAAGATCTCTTCGTGTAACGAACAAGAAACGAGTATCCTCGATGGTTTCCGAAGTCTCAGTATACATGGCACAGCCTGGAAAATGAGTGTCTAGCAAAAGCTGTCCCGTTTCTTCCAGGTTTTCCGTAAAGCTTCCGTCAGCCTTCTTTAGTGTAGAGAGTCTATTTGAGTGGTCTTTATTTAGAGATTTCTGGAGTCTCGCAGCCGCGGAAAGTGTTTTAATCTCCTCGCAGTGCCTCCTTCATGATTCCCTCTTTGATTTTTTTCAATTTTTTATTATAAGCCGTTAAGGCACTCTTATAAGATGCTCAGTCCCTGCTGGACTTGGCTCTATTAAGGAACTGGCGGGCTTTTTTGCGCAAAATGTCCAGTTTCCTATTCCACCATGGGACGTTCCTAGAACGTTTCTTTTTGACCAGTTCCCAGCTATTTTCAAAAGTCCCTGTAATAATATTTTCAAGTTTGTTAACCTCAAAATTTAGTTCCTGACAATTAGTAATCCTATCTCCAAGACAACTAATGTTTTGTTCTAAATAGAAGTTATATAGAAACCAGTTGGTCTTCCTAACATTTCTTGTTTCGAAAGTGTTTTCAATTTTCCCTTCCAAAACAAAACGTATGTAGCGGTGATCTGATAAGGAGTTTTCCTCCAACACCCTCCAATTTGAAATGTTATTAGATATAAATGTGCTTGCTAAAGTGAGATCTAGTACCTCTCCCCTTATCGCATTTACAAAAGTAAGTTCATTACCTCTATTTACCACCATTATATTGTTAGTTGTGATAAAATCAAAAAGTGACTCACCTAGTGAATTGGTGTTCGTGCTTCTCCATACTGAATGGTGTGCCTTGGCATCGCAGCACATTACCCACTGTAGGTTTCGGAGCTCGAGAGACACCGCTTCCTCTGCGTCGCCAGGTAAGTAAAGAGATGCAAAAACAATTTTTCTCGTTCCCCTAATACTAGGCACTTCTGCCTGTACTGCCACAAGATCACGCTGTGTAAGCTCTGTAATTGGAAGAGATTTAATGGTTTTGTTAATCATTATCGCCGCTCTGGGACGATCAACATTACTATCATAGATTAACTTATACGTTTTTGTCTGTAGACCGTTTATGCGCCCATTTGTGGCCCTTGGTTCTTGAATGGCCACAAAATCCAGACAGTGTTGTTCCACCAAGGCACGGAGCCTATATGAAGCTGTTATCGCCCGGTGGAGGTTGATTTGTAGGCAATGAAGCTGCCTCCAGGAATTTTGCGGATGAAGCGGAGTCCAGGACATTATATCCCATACTGGCCCTTACGGACCTTGCCGCCCTTCGTACTGCGCAGCAGTTCCGTGGTCTCCGGATCTTTCCTTTCCCATTTCCTGAGACGACCAGAGAGAGTAGAAGGTTTTCGACCTTGGGCACAGACTCTGCCCCCTCTTAATGATGGTCCCACGGAGTTGAGACCTGTTTTCGGTTTTTGATTGCTTGGCTGAGCACGAGCCGCAGATGTTGACGGTTTTTCATCGTCAACCGCTTCCTTTGCTCTGTTTCCCTTGTGTCTTGGTCTCAGCACGGCACTATTAAATCCTATTCGAACCATAAAGAGTCCAGAGCAATCGCCATCTCGACGAGATCGTCCTTATTAAGCCTATGGAGCTCCCGCCAGTCTCTGATACGCATGCCCGAATTTTGCCACTCAATTTGTCCCAAAATTCGGCCACTATGCCAGGAAGCTGAGCCTGGGAAGTAGCCAACATAGATTTCGGATTTTAGCACTTCTGCCTCGTCCACTACCTTCAGCTGGGCTCCTTCCCACGGCTTCAAGGCTGGGATTGTCTCTTTAGACCAGGTTACAGTCTCGTCGTCCAGGCAGTTGATAGTAAACCATCCGGGCTTTAGACTGTAACCGGCGAAATGAAGTTTCACCCCAGGAGCTCGACAAGTCTCATACATCTTGTCGAGGATGCGTTTCTGCATCTTGTCAATTTCCTCATTGGACCAAATGCCCTCTGAGAAGTTGAGCAGTAGTATACCGATCTTCTTAGAGCGAACAGTCTCTGCTAGAGTAGGCTTTGAACAGAAGTCTTCGGAAGAAGCGCTTTGTTCAGCCTGCCCCACAGATACCGTTGCCACCTCATTACTGGGACCAGGTTTGCCCCCGTATGAGGTTTCTACTTCCTTCATCCTGCTGAAAATCGACAAAGCAGTTGCAGGCACTGTTGATTTGTTATCAACTTTTTTGCCCTGTAATGCAATCCGCTTTGTCGGTTTGGAGCTCGATGATGGTGTAGAGCTGTCGGGATCGTTTAGGTGTTGCCTGTCCTTCGTTGGACGCGGTGGCCTGCTTTACTGCCAAGGACCTTGCTGTTTCCAGCGGGATGCCCTTGGCAAGTAAAGCCTTCAACCTTTTGCCTCCAGCGCCGGATAGCTTCACTCTTGTTTGAATCTTTTTGGTTGGACCAGGCTCATGAAGATCTCTCTCCTGTTCCGAGGAAATGGACATTCCAGCCGACTAAGTGGAATGTCCATCTCATCCGGCTTGTCGGGTAGAAGACCAGGTGCCCCCTGCAACAAGTCGTGGTCTATTTGTTCACTGACGATGGTACCATGTGCCCCCTCGGCCAGTGATGAGTTTTGGCTTTGTAAAGCCATATTTTGCACATGTAAAGATGTGCAGTCCATAGAGTTTAGTGTATTTAAATCCATAAAAAAAATAAGTTTTAATAAACCGTGCAGGTAGGTCACCCATGAGCGCCCCCATGGGAAGGACTAATTGAAACCGTAGGTTTGCCAGACCTGGTACGGAGTTCGCTATTAAGCTTGACCCTACCCCGTCAAGCAAGTTCACCAGCATAGCTGTTCCACTGTGAGTTTAGGGGATTTGTTTGGGGCAATAGGTTTGTTTATACTCCAGGCTATCAAGACCTAGCCTTGGTAACTTGGAATACCATATGAACAGACCCTGCTCTAGGGAGATTTCCTTCTCCCCCGCCCGACTATCGGCGACCCACAAACTGCAGAGATATGACCGTACTGAAGGCGAGTCATTGCTCTGATAGATAGTCGCACTTTCCCAAAGGGACTGACCAATTAGCAAGTGTCTATTGAAGTCCACTAGCTAGCCTCAACGACTGATCAGGAATCGCAGATACCTACTTTCAACCTGTGCGTTGGCGGCAGTTCTTAGTTTGTGTGCTGAATTATGCCACATGTAAGGTCCTCATGTCATGACTTTCACATGACTTGCTTCAGTCCACAATAAGCCCCTACACCACGACAAGGTGACTACCTAGCAAGGGTATATATATTATATTTTATTTAATTTAATTTTTTTTTTTTTTGTATATTTTAATAACAAATTTTTCGTAGGTGCACAATACAATTTATATTTAAAATAAAATATTCATTGTAATTTAATGTTTGATTATTTATATATTTTTGGTAGCCCAAGATTTTTAATATTTTAATTCTTCTTAATAACATGTTTTGGAAATTAAAAAATTTTACCTAGATAGAAAATACAAATATTTAAAATAAAAGACACAATTCATTCATATTTGCAAAGCATTGCATGGTAACGACAAATCATGCGTGCATTTAAACGATGTTTACGCTTCCATTTCTTAAAATAAAAGGAATTTTGCATGTCGACAAAATCCGACTGTATATGCAAAAACACGAACGTGTTTGAAGAAGTACCTAAATTTTTGGATTTTCGTCAATGCATTTCTTAAAATTTCAAATGTTACTATTACACAAACAAATTCCGCATTCCACAAAGTAGGAGAAAAAATTCTCATGTGAGAGCGATTTTTTAGTATATTTGTTATTTTGTCTGTGTTTAAAAAATTGTTGAAAAATTATTTGTGTAATGGCAAGCGCCCGTTGACAACGGGCGATGCTGTCTAATGGGCCCTTGAAGCATTATTTCTGAAGTTGCAAAGCATACATAGTCTTTGTGATTGTATATTTTTCCTAAAATATATGATTGACTTCGTGTGCATGCAATGCATAAGTAGTTTCAATTATAAATTTGATTTTTGATGAAATTTTATTCTGGTCTCATACAAATATATGAGATTTGCCTATTATGAGATTAGTAAACACCTGCAGTGGTATAGTACTATGTCCTATAGTAGCAATAGTATGAAATATATTAATAAACATCATATTTTTTTAAAAAATATTTTTTTATTAAAGTTCAAAACATCAAGTTATAAACATTGCATTTATTCTTAAATCTAATCTTACATGATAACTTATATAATTTACGAACTATTTACGACCTATTTACAATAATTATTATTAACTTATCACTAAGGGCACGGCTTGCATGCCGTTTAAAAATTTTATAGACACCTGCATTACATTATCATGAACTTAACATTAACATGAACTTCAAACCGGTTACCGATAGATGAGACAGAGAAGGGAGTGTGATGTGAGTTCATAAATTTTAAGCATCGAAATTTGAATCGTTTTTTCAGCTTGACACGCATACATATTTACTGTTATCTTTATGTTTACATTTTTATGCTGAGTACTTTTAAATTCGTTTACTCCTATCAATGTAAGATATGATCCGAGCGTAGCTTGTTATTAAAGGGTACCTACTCCCTCTTATGTACATTTGCAAATTTCATGCTTGAATAATTATAAATTATCACATAAAGCAATTACAATAGGCCTTTTCGGTGGCCCGCAAGTACGGCAAAAAACAGCAAGTTGCTGGCCTATGCAGGCCTATACTGGCCGCAATGTATGCAAAACAACAACACTATTTTTTCTACCTCGGCCAGTAAAAACAAAATGTTACCAACGCAATAAGCGAACTATTGTGAACCTTCATTGAAAATTCCAACGAATAGTGCAATCAAATGTCAAAAATTAAGAAAATAAAAATTCAAACAGAATTCGAAAATTTTAAAAATCTTGAAAAGTAACGAAAAAATAATAAGAATGGAGAAACCGTAAGTATTAAGCACATTGAATTTTTTATTATGTTAGTTATTACCAAGTAACATTTATTTTATTTCATTTAATTTGTAGTTTACATACGTAAAATTAATAAAACAAACATAATGTTTAAAGTTTTTCTAAAAATTTTTTTTATAGAAATACACGCAAACTATGGACCACAAAGGAAACGAAGTGTTTTCTAGAGTGCTACTTTGCACGAAAGGAAGAGTTTTTGGAAACCAGAAAAAAAAGACTTGGATATCAACATGTACTTGAGGACATGATAGCACATGGAATTGCAGTAAGTATCGCATAACTTCTGCAATCATTTGAATAAAAAAATAAATTAAATTAAATTGAAAAAAAAATATTTATTTTAGGATGACTTTACTCCAGTCTGCTTAGAAAGAAAAATGCGCACACTTCTAAGTGCATTTAAAGCAGCCAAAGATAACAACAGACGGACTGGTGCATCGCCATGCTTACCATCCTACATGGAGTTGATGAACCAAATATTTGGTGATAAACCAATTATTTCAAATAATCACACTGCGACGTTAGAGTTTGACAGCTATGTTGAAGATATAGAGGTGCTGGAAGAGTTGGTATTAAACATTGTGCAAGCGCACGCTGTGCTATCGCCAACGCAAGAATCACCAACGGAAGAATCGCCAACGCAGGAATCTCCAACGCAGGAATCGCCAACGCAAGAATCATCAACGCAGGAATTGCAAATGCAGGAATTGCCATAACCTTCAACTTCATTATTTAACCGCAAAAGAAAAATCTGTGCGTCAAGAATATTATGGTAACAAATTATTTGCTAAGAAAAGAATAGAGGAAGAGAAATTAAAATTTTTTAAAGAAACTATGAATGAACTGAAGCAAAAAATAATTAAGAAATGGGATAATGAATTGAAATTAGAGGAAAGAAAATTGAAATTGGAAGAAAATAAATTCAAGTTACTTGAAAAACTTACGCAAAATATGTAAATATATTTAAATAAATTTTAGAAAAAAAATATGTATAAGTTAAAATACTTTATAAATGATATGAAATAAGTTGATATAATATTTTTATTTTAATTAAAAATATGTTATATTCATTTTATGTAATATATATTTTTAAGTTAAGAATTTCTTTAATTCATATTTAAATTTGTACTATTTATTTTACTTTTATGTAAAATATTTTAAGTTCAAATAAAGTTCAAATAAGTTTCTAGTTGTAATAGTATAGTATTTTTATTTTCGTTCAAAAACAGTATAATATTTTAATCTTAAAACTAATCTTACACATTAATTTATGCTATTAATAAATAAATTACAAAATATTTACGCATTAAAATATTATTACTTATTAAACTAAAGTTAAGTTAGTTTCTATAAATGTAACAAAATTTTCTATTTAAAAAATTACAGTAAATATATTAATTAATAAACTTATAAAACACCTTTTCTTAACAAATAATTAAAAAGTCTTTCCCTTCTATTATTACCATGATCTAATTCATGTTCTTCATCCGCTTGCTGTTCGTCATTGCTTTCATTATGACTATTTGATTCAGCATTCTCGAACAAATCATCCTTTATAATACAAATATTATGTAAAATACAAACGCTTACAACTATATTTGTTATTGCAGCCAAATTTGTCTGCTCCGTAAATTTTAATAATCTTCGAAAACGAGTTTTTAGTAAACCAAAAGCGTTCTCAACTACAATACGAGCAGATGAGTGTTTTTCATTAAATTTTTTTTGGTTATCGGTTAAATTCCCATAATTTTTGTAAGGTGACACAATCCAGTTTGTAGAAGGATAAGCAGAATCTCCAATAATAAATGTCGAGTTTGGAAATATTTCTTCGTATCTTGATTGTGCCATTCTATATAGCTTTGACCTTCTCAAAACTCTGTAATCATGCAAAGATCCAGGTTCTCCGCAAGTAACTTCAATAAATTTTTTTTGGCATCCCCAACAGCTTGGAGAACGATACTATAACGTTGCTTGGGATTAAAGTAATCTTCTCCATGCTTTTGTGGTTTTTTAATGGGAATGTGTGTACAATCGATTGCTCCGATAGTGCCTGGTATTTTGTGTTTACGTTCAAATGAATTTATTATATCTAATGCAGCGACTTCTCGTGGCCATGATACATAATTTCGGCCTATGGAAATCAAAAACGTAGTAACAGTTTTTACTGTTGACCATGCCGTAGAAGCTGACACTCCAAAGAGATTTCCTAATTGTCTATAAGTTACTGTATTATCAACGTACCAAAGATATATATAGATAGACTTTCTTACATGCTTACATGTTTAATACCACCACAATCTGTATCCGACAAATTCTCCGATTCTGAGAAGCCCACTAGAAATAAATTAAATTTGTAATTTAATCACAGACAACTCAATGTATATTTACAGATAAGGTCTTCCGCTGTATTTCGTCGTAATCTGAAATCATTTTTAAAATCTATTGGGTTCATGGATTCTATACTTTCTTCAAAATTTTTACACTTTTCCTGCTCTTCTTCACTATTGCTTGAATCTTCAGAGGAGGCTGTTGCGGCATTCATAACATTTAAAAAATCCGTGAAACAACTTGCATCCCTCGGCCGCTACAAAACGTTGCTTTCTTCTCCCAATATCGACAGTACCTACAAAAATTTACTTATCTTAGTGTTTTATTTTTAATATTCTTATATTCTTATATTCTTATATTATTCTTATTATTCTTATTCTTATTATTCTTATATTGTTCTTATATTCTTCCAATATTCTTACCATTCCTTTTAATTCCGTGTTCATTTTAATTTTATAATATTTTTTTAAAAATATATTTGATTTATATGCACATATGGGTCATTCTTTTACAAACCGGACGGATTTTGGCAAAAAATGACCTCATCACCTCCGATTTGGCTGAAATTTTTTTTATGAGCTCCTTTCATAAAATAAGAAGACCCGTATCTCGGGAAAAAATTTTGTAATTTTTTTCCTAGGAGATATGGACCCATGGGGTTTTGAGAATTGGCATTGTAGACACATTTTCAAAATGGATATATCAAGTTCTATAAAAGGTAGAAACTTGAAATTTATTGCGTTTTAAAGATAATTGGTTGAGCTTTTAAGAAATTGTTTAAACAATTAAGATTGTTTATATTTAAGTACTAATATTAACCGTTAAATTTCAAAAAAAAAAGATATCTCAAAAGGGTACACAACATTTTTCATTTTTTATATTTTATTTAGATTCAGTTTTAAATTTACTAAGAAATAAAAATTTTCATGATAGTATCGATTTTTATAAATTTTTTAAATTTTTTTTTTCTCAAAACACATCAAACACATGCGTGCTATATTTACATTGGAATGAATTTTCAAAAAATATACTACAAATATTCTTATATAATATTTTTGATTTCAATTAGTAATAAAATTGTACATAAAACTCAAAAAATTCAGGACGATATTGTCGTTGAAACTACTTTTAAAAAATTTATTTATCCTTCACATCACTCCAAACACATACACACGATTTTTCAGTAAAAAAAAAACAGAGGAAAACGTCACACAAATTTTTCATTTTTACTTTTAATTCCGATTAAACAATAAATTCTTCTTCGAAAATAAATATTTCCAGTGTGATTTTGCTTCCAGAAGTAATTTAAAAAAAATTAATTTATCAGGTGTCCTTCATGTTACTCATACGCACCATAATACCCTTGAATCAATTTTCCAAGAAAAGTGACACAATATTCACATTTTAAATTAGTTCCGCATCATCTCTATTTTTAAATTATAAATTTTAACATAATTAATATTATATTGATCTTATATTGATCAGTTTAAAAATTAATTAGTTCCACACTAGCTGAACTACCTGTATAACTGCAGCACATAATTACACAGTTGAAAAAATTCTTTAAGCAGGTACGAATTGTTATAGGAAATAAACTGTAAACAATTCTATATAGAGATAAACTGTAAAGAACTATAAACAAAATATTTTTTTTAAGTTTTTGTATTGATTTTATTAATAATCATTTCATTATTGATACATAATCTGTAATGTCTGCAGAAGAAAATATTTTTGCCATTAATATCGTTTTCGAATTAGGAATAAAGCAGTGATATTTTAATGTGCCTTTAACTGATGTAGCTGCTTCGAAACGGTGCTTAATCTTATTTTCTTCAGCTTCATAGTCTTTTGATGTTGAGAAATGGCACACAACATTTGGTAAACATTCGTTAGCCCAGTTAAATAATTCCTTTGGTGTTTGAATTGGATTATGTATTCGTTGAAGACTAGCTCTTGCAGCATTCCTCTTTAAGGTACCAGCTAAGCATCGTTTTCTAACGATGGGTGGCTTTTTGGATTTGGGTCTTCTAAGATTCCTTTTTCTGAAGCAAGTTTTTTAGCTACAGTAATCATATGCTTTGTAGCGTTTGGAAAGTGAGTTGTGATTCTTCGAAAAGACCAATTATGTACCACACTCAATATTTTTATTTTCATCGTCCTATCTGCTGAGAAATTGAATTTTTCCTGTAGATTTTTTAAAATTGATGCAAGGTCATCTTCTTCATCGCTATTGTTGGACTCATCGGGAGGAATGTTGAAAATTTTATGTTTAATCGCTTCAGTTATATCCTTTATTTTTTCATTTTTATATTCCTGTTGTTTAAGTTTTCTCGATGTAATTGGGGTATTGCTTATTAGAGAGAGTGCTTTATTTAATGGACTAATAGCACTTTTTCTGACTTCAGTTTCGTATGTAGCCGAACTGCTATTACTTGATGGTTGAATATTTTCCTCGCTCGATGACTGGCTGCTGTTTTCCGATATAGCTCCTTCATTGTTCTTATTTTTTTTGGCTCTCATCGCCAGTCTCAATCGGCAACTGTTACATATTTTTTTCCCCATATTTTTTTTGGTCCTAGGCATCCCCAACATACGCAGGATACTATCTGAAACTTGCCTTACTTTGGCCTTTCTTGGATGAATTTTTAACTTCAGCGGATTGAAACATTTTAAGTCGAAAGTTTTTTTGTGTATCTCTACACGTGTTTCGGCAAATTCGCTTTTGCCTTCATCAGGAGAATTCCTAATATTGTATTTTTAAAAAACAAAAAATAACCGCATTTAAACATTTTCGAAGTAACGACTCAAAAATTAAAACAAAAAATAAATTTTAAGTCATTGAATTGCCGTAGATGCAATTTATTTTTTTCAACTTTTGCCATTATTTAAATGTTCTTACTTGTTTGTTCGCTTTCAGAACAGAAACTGAAAATTTATCCGACTTACTTAACATTTTATACCAAATTTGATACTGGATCTTTTAAAGATAGGAGTACCTAGACACTCCATTTCAAATTGTTTACAGTTCTTACCTGCTTAAAGAATTTTTCCAACTGTAGCAGAATAACACTCACCATAGAAGGTGGGTGTACTTATGTGCTTCAGTTATTCAGGTAGTTCAGCTAGTGTGGAACTAATTAATTTTTAAACTGATCAATAGAAGATCAATATAATATTAATTATGTTAAAATTTATGATTTAAAAATAGAGATGATGCGGAACTAATTTAAAATGTGAATATTGTGTCACTTTTCTTGGAAAATTGATTCAAGGGTATTATGGTGCGTATGAGTAACATGAAGGACACCTGATAAATTAATTTTTTTTAAATTACTTCTGGAAGCAATATCACACTGGAAATATTTATTTTCGAAGAAGAATTTATTGTTTAACCGGAATTAAAAGTAAAAATGAAAAATTTGTGTGACGTATTCCTCTGTTTTTTTTACTGAAAAATCGTGTGTATGTGTTTGGAGTGATGTGAAGGATAAATAAATTTTTTAAAAGTAGTTCCAACGACAATATCGTCCTGAAATT